CTAAAAATTCACTGCATTTTAGAATTTAGGAATATGAGATTGTTTTTAGCGAATACCAGTTTCAAAAAGGATGATAATGGGTTGTAACCCACAATATGTAATGTTAGGCAGACAAACCTGATAACTGTCATTAATAAAATATATCTCTGAGAACTTCATGCAGGTTTAGCCTTTACTGATTTTTGGGGTTTTTTTTATGATGCAGGAACCTGCTAATAAGTAACATCATAAATATTATTAGTTGAGGATTATTTGATAGGAACGTAATTCTGTTTCACCTATTTGGCAAATAGAAAGTGACATTATTTTTTATAATTTTAAGAAACAGAAAGCAAACTCCTGGAAAGCTTTATGCTGGGATCGCTGTGTTTAGTAAAATCTGGAAAATGAAACAAAGTAAACATATGTTGCTTGCATTTTTAGTTGACTCTGGATGAGGCAGCATTACAAGTGCGTTGAAGGATACCATGGAAATACAAAATAATCTGGAGGGTAATGGACAGTTATAAATGGGTTTTAAATTTAGATAACATTACATAACATATTCCAGGCACATGGCATTGCATATAAGCATTGTTGCTGCAGAATGGGAGATAATATTGTTTAAGATCATCAACCCTCAGTACTCTTACTTCAAGTAATTTTTTATACATAAGTAGACAGAAGTGTGATCGTAGTATTGCTGAAAGGGGAGACTGCTTGTACGAAGCCTCTGTGCTTGTAATTTTTGAGTGTAGTTAAGACAATGTGTCTGTGTTTACCTACTCAAGCAAGCACAGAAAAGAAAGGTATTGGTAGTGATACCAGTTGTCCCACAGGCTAGAAAGCTTTTCTCATAGTACCAAAGTTATTCAGTTACCTGTTGATCCTCCAGCCCTTGTTCACTAACAACAGAGACTGGCAGATACAGGGTCTCCACATGCTGCCACCTCATCTGAACACTCTGCATGAGCTAATGTAAGTACAGTTTAATTCCTGACATGGATGCGAAAATTTTACCCCTGTCCTGACTGAATTTACTACCACTGTGGACTCATTAGCGAAGTGGTAGATTGTCCCTCTAAATATGAATTGATTTTGGTAAATACTTCAATTTTTATATTGACTCAAAAGGTTTCAAGTCTCTGTTTGAGGCATCATGTGGGATATTAATGGTGAGATGATACTTTCAAGTATATATACACATAAAAACACAAAACAATTCAAAAGTTAGTACTGTTTATTAGGTGTTACAGTTGCTGAGAATGAATTTTTACAAAGAACTGCCTGTTCACCTAAAATAAAAAATCATTAAGGGTCCTTTGCTGTGGATTAGAACCTGAATGCAGCATTGCAAAGCAGGTCACTTATTTTCCTGTACTGTTTTGGAAACTGTGGATTGCTACCTGCAATTCCTATTTTGCTGCTGAAATTTCAGATCGAGCCTTCCTGGAAAATATGTGGAAGAGCAGTCAAAGCCTACTGCAGTCTTTTTGAGTTTTGCCTTCAAAAGTTCTCTATTCGTGTCAAAAGATGCTGAATTCTCTGGGGAAAAAAGCAAGTCTTGAGTAGATGGTGGTCATTCAAATGTGGGTCATTTTGACGTATATCATAGACTTAAATTGCCATGAATAATTGTTGATAACAAACAAAACTTTGAGACTTTACAGCGACAAAATTGCTCCAGGGATGAAAGATAAAGAATCACAGAATATTCAGAGCTGGAAGGGACCCACAAGGGTCATTAAGTCCAACTCCTGTCCCTGCACAAGTTAAACCCAAGAATCAAACCGTGTGCCTGAGAGCATTGTCTTGAACTCTGTCGGGCTTGGTGGTGTGACCACTTCCCTGGGGAGCTGTTCCAGTGCCCAACCACCCTCTGAGTGAAGAACCTTTTTTTTGTTATCTAACCTGAACCTCCCTTGACCCAACTTCAGGCCATTCCCTCGGGTCCTGTCACTGGTTGCTGGAGACTGCCTGCCCTTCTACTTCCCCTTGCAAGGAGGTTGTTAAAAGAAGGCTTTCCCAAACTCTGTGAGGCATAAATGGAGCAAATAGATTGTATTTCTCCTTTGATAGTTCTCCTTTATAAATGCTGTCATTCAAAGCTAACGTGTTTCTCCAGTTTCTGATAATAGCAGTCTGATAGCGTGGGGGTCAGTGCAAAGCACAATAAAGCAAGTACAAGCAAAACGTAGTGTCAAGCTGCAGCAATTGATAAAATGTCTGAATATGCAGTCACAAATTGAGATGATAAAGTACACATTACTGAAGTTAGCCTGTAAAGTATCCAAATGCCAAGGTGATAAATAGTAAACAGTGCAAGCAATGGAGAGTCTGTGCTCACAGGCGAAGCACAGTGCTGCTGTTCTGTGCAGAAGGATCAGCTCTGATGCCTTCTCCTGTTCTTTTCACTTTTGCCATTTGTTGCTGATGGTGCTTGCAGAAGAGGCTGTTGGGAAAGTGTCCCACTTCTGTTTGGCTGGTTGAAGCCTGCTCAGGAGCATAAACACTGTTCCTGTGCTTTACCCTCCTGTGCCTGGGTAATTCCTCTTGCTCTGTCATTTCAGTGACAGTACAGCACTGAGGCTCTGCTCAAGTGTGTCGCTGGGACATGCCTTGGCAGTGTTCCTGTCTGAACAGTCACTACTGTTCTGGTCTGCTGGAACTCCTCAGTGTGAGTACAAAAGGGGCAGAATAGCAGGAAGTGCGAGTTGAAAAAAAGCTGTGAGATAAGGCAGCCAAGGAAAGCTGCACTCACTTACCTTCTGTTCCTTTGGCTTCTTCCTGTTGTGTCTTGCTTTGCCCAGCTTCAGGCCGCTAAGTTTCACTAGCTTTTCACTCATGTCACCATTTAATTTCTTAACTGATTGATACTATACATTTGAACAGGATGTGTGATTTGCATCTTGGATACAATAATATAGAACATTCACAGGCATCAAGAAATTAATGTATTATCGTGGCAGTATGTTTTCCTGGTGCTGGTCACTTAGTATATTAGGTTTTAAAATGTCTGTTGTAGCAGTAGCAATAGTATTAGACTATTTTTCTATGGGAGTAGTCTGGTTGTTCTTTCATCACAAAAAGATGACCAGTGTCTAGTTTATCTATGTGCAGACTATTTTATTGTCTCACAAAACAATGTCCCAGTGCTAGGATTGCTTCATTAAGTTTATGCTACATAGACATAATTATGCAGGAGCTAAGAATAGCTCATCTAATTGAAAGTAATGATTATAGAGAAAGAACGGGTTTGATTACTGTTACTAAGCAAGCACATACCATACAACCATTCATGAACTGCACAGAACACATATGGGATTATATGGTGTATTTGTTTTTATTAGCAGTTTCTTTTCCCCATCCTGAGTACAAATCGAAGGTGTTACATCTTATTTGCTCATTACTTTTTTCTCACAGACCTAGAGGGACCTGCAAGAAGGCAGCATAAGCTGATATTTATCCAGTAAATTATGACAAGCTAAGCTTTGACGTAGCATTCAGCATTTATCCACACACACATTTTTGGGAGGATGTAACTTAAATAAATCTTCTCCAGGCACCACAGATGAAACTGTCTATGTGGATTTTTATGTCTGTGTTTATACTAGTACCCTACAGGATTAAACATCCTTTTAGAAATGCAAAGTCTGCCATACTGTTAATCTCTTGATGCTCATTCTGGTTAATGCTAACATTTAATTCCTGCTTTGTTTAAAACACATAGAACTCTTCTTTATTCCTTGAAAATAAAACTGAATTTTTACAGTGAAGTTGTTGAAAGTTTTCATTTATATGGTTGCTGTTGATTAGTATCACCAGGCACATGGGATAAAAGTTGGTGCTACTGTAGTCCTCATAACTAAATTTTTTCTTACTTCAGTGTCAGTTTTCTACGAGAATGTTACATGAAAATTGATTAGATCATGAAATTTAATATATCTGGTTTAGGAATGTTATTAATAGCTCCAGAGTCTCAAAACATTCTGCTGGTTTGCCATGTTTAGCTTCCTCTCTGTTCTAATGAACCATTTCATAGCTCTAGGCTATGTGCTAATGCTGTAGAAGCATAGAGAGATCACTGCCATCAGGAATTTTAAAACAGATGACTGTTTGAAAAATGAAGTGGAGAAGAGGGGAAGATGGGACAAGCCGTGATGCAAGCCTGCAGTAACACAGCTATCAATTTGCACAGTCTGAAATCAGAGGCATTTGCACAAGCTGTTCTTGAAGCTTTTTAAGAAATACCAAAAAGCAAAAATTGGAAGCAGAGGGCAGATTACTTCATGGAAGTATTCCAGACTGTTGTCTCATCTCCAGAAAAGTTGCCTTTTTGGATTGTTTTTGGATTTGAAATTCAGTGAGTTACAAGAATTTAAAACTGTTAAGTCCCCCTTTATACAAATGCCTATTGAAGCATCAAACACATTTTCCATCCTATTCCTTTCTAGCATGGTCTGATTGTGGAAGAGTTTTCCCAGTTTTTTGGGCCAGCATACCTGAATTTTGCCTTTCAAAAATTTTGCCATGGCACCCAGCACTGAGCATTGACTTTGAAATGTTGTAAAAGTAGTAGGATTCCTCAGTCCCTTTGGACACCATATATCCTGGTCTCACAGTCTCATGCTCAGGAGTCAGTGTGGTAGCCCAGTCTGACTGTCCATACACTCTACATATTCTGGTAATGTGTGTTACAATCCTAGCCCCAGGTTTTGGTCAGATACTGTTTTTTTATATTTAGAATTTTAAATTATAAGCTTGGGCTGTAAATTGTGTCACTTGCAAGTAAGTGATAAGGATGGACTTGCAAGGATGAGGAGGACTGAAGAGCTGAGGGAAATAATGATTTGATTCTGAAATACTTTGGCTGATTTGCAGTTATTCACAGCAAGTGGGCATAAGAGCACACTATACAAGGTAGTGTATTTTAGCTGAGGACAGTAGTCCTTTGCTCTCACATTCTTGATGCAATTCATAAAAGACTCCTCTGCATATAAACTGTTTTCTACTTTGTACAGAACTGCACATGCAAGAGCTAAAGCTGATGCTGCGGATCAGGCTGCTCAGGCTGCTCGCCAGGAATGTGATATTGCAAGAGCAGTTGCCAGAGAACTTTCACCAAATTTCTACCAACCAGGTAATTGTAGAATGGACTTTTTGCGGCTGTTTTATTGCAGAGAAAAGAATTTGTGTTAAGTTCAAATGTTGATTTCATTTTGAATGTTGTCATTTATATGGAAATAGTAGTCACATGTAAGTCATGAAGAGTGTACATTGCTCAAGGAGATTTTGGGTTCAGTTTTTAATCATTTGCTGACTATTGCTTTGTATATAAACATTTGAGTATTGAAAAGTCAGTATCAAGCATATAACTTTTCTCAATATTCGGGACAGTGTCAAAGACAGACTTCAGAGAACATAAAAGAAATTTGTATTAATTCTATAATGTGTATAGTGGAAAGATCCTTTGCTTTTTTACTGTCCAATGGAATTCATGATAGTTGTGGTTAGCTAAGGCCTGAATTTTAGAGAATGTTTTACCATTATGCATACACATAACCTGTAAGGGAATCTTTGTCTGTTATGCCTGTGCTGCTCTGTGGAACATTTGTCCCATATTCAAGATAACACAGAATTAAATCTGTCTCACTTGTATCAGCACTGCAGCCCAGTTCTGTCTGTCACATAGTTTGGAAAGTTGGTATAGAAGGTAACAATGTTGGTTTTGCTTTGTTTTTCTGCTGTCTTTCCATGAGGCTAATATTTTTGTGTTCTACTCCTTAGCTTAAATTTGGATAGATAAAATGGAACTCCATTTGCCAATTTAATGTCTTTTCTTGCCTGCCCTTTCTTTCACCTGTCAAATTGAGTTGAGTCATATCTTGTTATTACTTTACAAGGACTTGCCTGCACTCATATGCTAATGTAATGTAACTCTGGGATTCATTTTTACTTACTGCCGTATTCTGCACATCCTTGTTTCAGACAAAAACCTACTTGTTCTTAAATGTACACATGCAGTAAATGCAGGCTAATTTCATGACCCACAAAATCAAAGAACAACATTCCTCAGCATTTTCTAAAAATGCACCTATTTCCTTCCATTTTTAGTTCAAGTTAACACTGTTAACTTGTTCCTAAATCTTTACAGTCAGCTTAATGAATACTTGTTTTTTTTCTTTATTCCTCAGTATTTGATTGTAGAGAGCAAATGTATTTTGGAGTTGGGATGATTGGGGTACTCTTGTTTTTATTCATTTAGTGCATAAGTCACAGGTTAGTCATCTGATTAGAATCTCCATTCCCCTTTCCAGTCTTGCAAACTTTCTTTGTATACATCCTGATATAAATTCATCTTCCTTGAAAATGGCAGTCCAGAACTGTAGGAAAAGCTCAACAGAACTGTTTCCCATAGTAAGACTTTGCTAGCTTTAAAACAGCATAAATATATGCCATTCACTGTCGGAAATTACCTGAATACCACCTCTCCTGTGGACACGTATTAGTGGCCCATACTTAGTTCTGTGAAACTCAAGTATTTTTCTTTTTTCATTATTTCATTCTTTCATCTGCTGCAGAAATCCCAATTTATAGCAGCAGATCATCTTGCCAGTCATAAGTTAAGAAGTCATAAGCTTAACCGTGCAAAGAATCGAAGCATTTGGAAAGAAAATATTTCAAAGCTGCCAAACCCTTGGAATAAAGAAATGGCTAGAGTACCTGAGTGAAAATGCAAACACCTGACAGTGTGAAGTTTGACACCAAGAAATCCCCCAGATCAAGAATTTCTCAGATGTCTTTTTTTTACTTCCTGCCACAGGAAGTGAAGTAGCATTGCTGACAAATTGGCCGAGATTTGGAGAGAGAAGGTGTAGGATCTTATTTTCCTCTCATTTAAAACTTTTATTCCAATTACAGAAGAGTTTGTGTCCCTTCCCCAGATGCAGCTGTATATGTATGCAGTGATGTAAGAAAACATTTCTCAGTTTACTTACTCAGTTCTTTATGTGGAAACAGCTAGCTACCTATCAAAAAATAAATACCTCTTCTGGAGTCAATTTTTAATTTCCTAATTATTTCCAAGATGTCCAAATACAGCATATTTGTACACATTTGGGAAAAACAGTAGTGAGACATTTTGTTCTGTCTTAGTGAGTGATCTCTGAATTGCTTGCAGCCTTAAGTCCATTTAAAATCTTGAAAATCTTTTGACAAAGTTCCTAAAATGGCTGTTTCCATTGCTTAAGTGACTGTAGGATGCCAAGATGTTAACTAAATTTCCATTATCCCTAATAAGCTGCAGCAAACCACCAGGTTCATACATTATTGTGATAATTTCAAATACTGTCATGTCAAAGATGTTTTGCAGCCTCAGTCTACATGATGCCTTTTTCAGATACATTTTTTCTGAGTGGTACCAGTTAACCATGAGACTCACTTGTACACACACTTGTTTATTTAAGCATTTCCCTAATGTCATGCCAAGAGTTACTGGACAATGTTATCATTAGCTTTTAGCATTTATGGTAATAAAATAGGTAAATATTTTTAAGCATTTACATTCACTCACAAAGAGCAGTAAATATCTGCATTTCAAATAGGATTTTTCATGTGTTTGAATGAAAACACAGTAACTATTGTTGCTTCCTAATGGCAGCTTCTTGGTTTTCTTCTGTTGCTTGAGCTTTTTGTTTTTACAGTATCTTTTTAAGTCTCTGTACATGCTGCTAAAAGGTAATGATAAGTATTGTGTCTTAGTCTCTGAAACTATAGTTAAGTGAAAGCTTTCCATTGTACTAAATTGCCTTGAAAACAAATTATCATGAAAAAGTGTAATTTTTCTCTTATTTCTTTAACTGCTTCATACTGTAGGCAAGCATGCTGTCAGCAGTGAATAAATGTATGTAATGTATCAACAAGTCTCTTGAAAGGGACACAAAAAAAGTGAAATACAAATACCTCTGTAAACAACAGTGAGGCATTTTTTTCTGTCTTAATGAGTCATCTCTGAATTACTTTCAGCCTTAAGTCCATTTAAAATCTTGAAAATCTTTTGATAAAGCTCTTAAATTTCACATTCCTAAAAAGCAACCTTCTGGGCCATTTAGCCTAGTATTACACACAATTCATAATTATAGTGAATGTTCATCAGTCATTGTACCAGGACAGTTCTTACTTCCCAATTACTTTCTCTAACGTTTTTCTTCTATGTTCATTAAGACATTCATCAGAAGCTGCCAAGAGGTTTTAGCTTTGTAATGTAGTTTAAAAGGAGACTGGAAGGAGAACAAAGCAGTAGGAAGCTAAGTAGCATCCAGTGGGTAAGAATAATAATGTCAGTAATGAGGTGCTGTAGATGTCTTGAGATTTCAGTTTCTGAGTGATTGATTGCCTCAATATTTGCATATAAGGGAAGCAAGTATGATTGAAAAGGTCAGAGCCATGGTGTAAGGACTTAAAGGTTGCAGGGGGCTGTTTTCCCTGAGCTTGTTCATGTTAGTCTCAGGCAAGACTCTGCTTCTGCTTTTGCTGTAGCAGAGATTTGGCTAGTGATTGATAATTATGAGGATGTATATCTCTATAGAGCCCTACTCACAAGGCTATATGTTTTGTAGATTTAATAAATGTTTCAGTCTTTATAGAGGCCATACTTAGCAAGCCTTTTCATCAACAAATAAAACAAATTTTGAGAAATCCCAGCACTGACCTGTTTGTTTCCTCCAGGCATCACTAGACTTGCAGGTGTGTCAAAAGGGAGCATACCAGGACAGCAAACAAATGAAACCTGAGTCATAGCCTCATTCAAGGGAGTCATCCAGGGACAGTTTGAGATTTGTCTTAGAGAAAAAAAGATAAATTCTGGTTTGTGTCTCATGTTAAAAACTAGAGCAAATGACTCCTGGGAGTGTTGTATCAAGAGTGTAACAGAAAAGGAGGGATTTGGACACCCCAGTAATTGTTCGAGTCTTGGACAAGATTAGTGGATGCTTTGACTTACCCATTCTTTCTATATTCCACAGACCATCTCTTGAATATAGTCAGGAGGTACACTGAAGTATGAACTTGCACAGACTGGACAGCTAAGCCATAATTGTCTGTGTGCATATATATCCTGCAGCAAATGGATACTGCTCTTTCATTCAGTTTGGTTGAATAACATTTGATTAAATGAAAGAAGGGTAAAACTACTCTGCTGCAGGGTAAGAGCAGACTGGGCACTTTACCATGGAGCAATTAAGGTCTGGAAATTCAGATCTGAATTGTTTTCTGGCAGATTATTTGTCAGGCCAACCAGCTGCCAGATGAACATACATGGATCACCAAACACAATTCATCCAGCCTTTGACCTCCTAAACAAGGAAGGAGAGAAATCAAGGATCAGTTCATCAGTTAAAACTGTCTAAAGAGATGGACAGAATTTCTTTAGGTGAAATATGTAAGGAAAGATTTTCTTTGACAAGAAGATAAGAATAAGAATTTGGCATATTTTACCAGTATTTTTTGCTATAATGTTTGGTTGCTGTTAAAAATATCAGTATTAACATGCTGAACATTGCTAGTTTCAGAAATAGGCATTTTAAGTTTATGGTAAGGCAATTTCTAATGACCTCTAATGCTCCAAAGAGCAGTTTTGGTTTATATTCTTTTTTGACCAATGGTGGATGTCTGTAGCCTCAGAAAAAAACATGTCCTTCCCATCCTTCTCCTCTCTGCCATTGCCACCTCCTCCAGTTCACAAAATTCAAACTCCATATGGACAGGAAAAGAGATTTCTGGCTGATGCTAATTAACTGGAATGTCCTGGCTAAATGCATATGGGCCAGGGCAGATATTTTTATTTAAAAAGCCAATTACAATGAGCCTTTTGCCTGATTAAAGTTAGCAGCCATGCCATCAGTTTGTGCCTTAAAGCATACGGAAGCTGGCTAGTTATTCTTAGTCATACAAGTGCCTGTTAATTTTCTGAATTTATTCTACATATGGCTTCATCACCCTCACACAACTGTTGTTGGGATGCTTGCTATGCCATTTTTTCTCTACATTTTTATTGCTTCCATCCTCTTTGTACAGAACTCTAGAGAAGCTAGAGCCTGTCTATGTATTCTAATGCACTTCTGTTGTATCTAGTAATCAAAG